TGGCTGGGGAATTCTGGGAGTTGAAGTCCACTCATCTTAAAGTGGCCAAGTTTGGACAACACTGGCTTAAGATATGAGAGGAGTTAGTTGAGAAGATAGTTCTTCTTTGCCAAAACACCACAAAAGGGTTTAAACTAAACTGTTCTTTTCTGTCATATTTCAATTCCTAGCTATTTCCCCCATTCTTTTTACTTTTAGATACTGCAGTAGGTTAAAAATGTTACTTGCTCCCAAGTGCAACCTCCTCATATTTTTCTACATTTGAGCAGATGGCCATTGTTTAAAGTAGACTAAGGGGTACAGCAAGGCATTGCTAAGTCTATTAGAGTAAGTAGGAAGAAGGGAGGGAGAGAAGAAGAAATGACTAGCATAGTCACAGGTAAAAATAGGGCACATTGGTCTTTTCTTCTTAATCTATCAGTGTTGAATGAAAAGAATTCTCAATGATGAGGTGATTTTTTTCTAAAGGTTGGCAAGAAGACCCTCTCACAAAGATTATTTTGTTAACAAATCACCTTGAAGAACCTATCCATGCCTCAGATTAAACAAACAAAAAACCCTAAGAACATAAAAATCCACTAATCACGTGAAATACATGAACAGCCCCTCCTCATACACACTCACCACACAGAAACACACCCCATCATCAAGTTTTCTTGGTAGAAGAAATAATACATCCCCTCATCCCATAAGACAAAAATCCAGTTGCTTATAATACATTATTGTTGGGCTAATCCGAATGTGACAAAGGAGAGCAAATAGTTGCTATTATTGCTGTATTTAACAATTTCTTTGGTAACATTTAAAGTAACATAAGGGGACTGGTGAAATATTGAGATGGCTCCTGTGTAATTAACACCTCCTCTTCGCCTAATCTCTTTTTTATTCTGTTTTTAGTTTTGTGCCTTTTATAATTGAAAAGTTTTTAATATTAATATTAATTTGTATATTTTGTTTTTAATTTGTTGTACGCCGCCCAGAGTCACTTGATTGTGAGATGGGCGGCTATATAAATATGATAAATAAAGAAACAAACTGTACAAGTGCTACAGCCAGTGATTCATGATATTACAACAATGTATGTTCGAGGCAAAATTTTAAAATAGGTTATATTTCTTGTAAAATAAATTCAATAGCAAAATGCCTGAAAATGGCTTGAAAATACTGTAGCTCTTCTGCTTTCTTAATGAGGATTAAAGAAAGACATGAAAAAAATCCATTTTAGAAAGATTTACAGCTAACTGATACGATACAACCATCATCCATATGTCCACCCCTAACTCATATAAAGTGGGAATGGCTTCTTGTTTAATAACAAAAGGAATATATAGAAGAAACGCTTTGTACCAGCCTTTCCTTTTAGGTTTAACAGGGCAAATTTTCTCCATTCCTGTCTGGACAAAATACTGGACAAAAGTAGCTGGAGTAATTTCAGTCCTGATGTTGGTTTGGCTCTGCTTCTTTTCAGATGCTGCTTTCCGGCAAGAAACAGAGACTGGCAGTGGGTTTTCAGCTCATGGGCCATCTAAACCCTGGTAGCAGCACTAATAGTCATATATTCAGGAGCAAGAGAAGAAAATGCTAGTTATCTAATCAACATTTCATATTTCCCCTACTGTATTGTTCTTATGCTGGTTTAGATAGCCTTTCAACTCCCTGGAGCAGTTTTAGAGGCGGCTGCAGGGAAAGGAGAAATCAGCAAAAAAGTCTTCCTTTTTCCAAATGTTTGAAATTCTATTTAATGTACACCTGGGTCTAAATTCATTACATATGCAAGCACATTCTCCCATATATATATTCAATAAGTATAATTCTCCCTTGCTAAATCAACTAAAAGTAAGCTGGCTATTAGAGAAGGAGAGAATCTTTAGACCACCATAATAATATTGCAATTACTATTTACTTCTGTAATACTACCTGAGCAAACAAACCTCTTTTGAAATATTTTTTAAAAGATGTCCTTTCTCATGAATTATATTGCAATGGTTAGAATCAACATCTATGCTCATACATCTGTGAAGGAGAAAACTCCTCTAAGAAACAAAACAAGTTTTTGAAAAAGCCAATCATATTCTAACTGGAAATACCAAAAAATATAAGGATTTCAAACGATCATATCAGTTTAGTGCTTGCCACTTTTTCTCATATGATCTAAATTTTAGCCAAGAAACTAAAGGACATTCATCAAAGCGTTATCAGTGATTTGGGGGAGTAACCAATCTAATTATTAATTAATTAATTAATTTGAATTCATTAGCCACCCAACTCCAATGGACTCTAATTATGGATTGATCACATTTTCTTACAAACAGTGCAATAGAAAATGGAAAAAGTGGTGCCAGTCAGAGGATTTCTTATACAGAATGCCCAGTTATGACAATATAATATTGTCACAGTGAATTTTCAGTATGACAAATTCTCTGATCAAGGTAGCATGATGGAGTACAACTCACAGGAACTTTAGAAAAATCCTCTTTTTTGCCAAAAGCAGAATTCCAAAATAAATATACAATGTTTTTGCCCATAAGATTGAATTCAAATGCTGCTAACCAAGGGATGTTACTTCTATTAGTCAAGAGAATGCAGCATTTTATTTAAATGTTCCAGAGATTTTAACTTATCATACAAACAGATATACACACAATACATCTCACCAATATAAAGTGTAGCCCCACTCAATTTAAAGGAATGACATTAGGTTTTCTAGGTTTTCTTTTGCATAGTATAGTTATAAAGCTATTTAAATGATTCTTCTCAGCATCCTGTGTTCATGAAAAGCACTAGAAGTTCCTTAAATTGTATGGCATCAGTTGATGAGGAAGTTGTATTCTCTTAAATGCAACAAAGTCATCATTCTGATTAACAGCTTCCATGTCTTCCACAGTCCAGGAAATGAGTGTTACAAATCACCTCTTGAACTTGATTTCCATATACTACAATATAACACACTGTTGTCTCCAAACCCAGCTGCATTAGCCTGGTGACTTCATAATGACTGCAATACTCATTTATTGAAATAAAGACCAGCACACTACACATATACACAAAGCATAAAAGTTGGACCTTCGTGCAGCAGTAAATTACAAAGGCATAGATGTTATCCCAAACACTAGGTTTCAAACAATTTGCATGATTTGGTTTAGCCAAATTTGTTTCCAGCTCTGTGTTACAAGAATGTTGCTGGATTCCATGTTGTTAAAGTCAAATGATAGAAGAAATGCAACTGCTAAAACAAAGCCATATCTTTTGTTCAACTGGAAATTCAAAAGCTTTATGCAATTATGTCAAGTAGAACACTATTATTTACTACTAATCATTTCTTAAAAATTGTATTAGTAATAGTTACTTGGGGACCATTTGGGGGAATGTTGCAATTATCCTCTTTTTATACTGCAGTATGCATTTTGTCGTGGCTTTTCCACACAGAATGGCAAGGATACTACTATTATGAAAGTGATAAACTTGTAGAGTTGCAATTCATTTACATAATTTTTGAGAAGGGGGAATGATATTAAAATGATTCATGTCTAAAGTAAATATATAAGTATCTACCTGATGAAAAAAATCACCCCAATGAGACACTTTTGAGACAATTAGAAGTTAACTACCTGTATGGGGTGAAAATAAGAACTACTTAGCGTTTAATGAATTAATCATCATACTAAGCAGAAACAAATCCCAATGAAAAATCCTGTGTTGATATACTGTTCTACTAGCTCTATTTGGACAGAGAAACCTTGACTGGCTGTAATATAGTTCATCCTTAGGTATCTGCCAAGAGCAAAGTCTCTGCAAGAGGGTGTTCTGACATAAGACCACTGGACCTACTGTATACCTCCTGTTCACAACTGAATCATACTTATTCACATTGCCTTTTTCCAGGATGTCAGCTATGTGCTACATTGGAGAAAGAGGGCATTACTTTGAGGAAGAGGAAAAATTTCTTAGGATGATAAGCAGATATGCATTTCTGAAGATGGGGTTCTTGGTAGAAATAGAGTTATTACAAATTCAGAAAGCTGGGTTTATGAGGAGCGTGTGGATCACATGGTGACTTGGCTACCCAATGTAAGGGTTGGAAGACTATCATATGTCATCTAGATAACTTGACAGTGTTCAGAAGCAGTGATCATGCTCCACAACTCTATTAATGACACTGACACACCTCCAATGTTTTCACGCAATTCTGGAAGCCAAGCGTGGAGAGGTAATTGCAAGGTGAAAGGCAGGAGCTCTAAAGTTGCTTTCTCTGAAATGCTACTTATTCCACATGCAAGACTAACCAGATTTTTTTTAAAAAATTAAGAAATACCAATGTTTTGATAAGAAAATAATGTATGGTTTTGGATATTAAATTTGTTAGGGACAGAGAACATTGTGGAATAAGCAGTAACTGTGCAAAAGGGACAGTTTTCACCTGCACCAAAATGGAATAAGTTCATTTGTGTTTAACATGAAAAAGGTGACACTGTAGCAGCTTTTAAATTGCCCCCTACAGGGGTGGGGTGGGGTAGAGAGAAATAAATAGCTGCTAAGAAGCATGCAGTCTGAAATGAATCTCTTTGGAATCTAAGGGGGAAAACTGATCACCCACATGGGATCAGTAGGTAATAAGCCACAAACACAAAACACATTAGTCAGACAGATTCCTAAACATACTGAGAGAGAGACAAAGCTAGAATGGGGACACTAATGGTCTCTATCTCAAGCCAAGATGGGAAAACTGAATGCTTAATTTTAAAGGAGAACAGAGATACAGAAATCGTAACAAAAACCACAGAACCCAGTCATCTCTGAACACAGAGGCTACAGAGAGGACCTACTGAGACAGTGCTATAATAGAGAACACCATGTCAGTCTAGACATTTCCAACAAATTGGACTTCTCACAGAATTTCTGTGGCTAAAAATATCAGGTCTTGAGAATTCTTAAATTTGTAGGTTTGCTTTGCACTATTGAGAGTGAAAGGTATTATTGAGTTCCAAGGGACAGAGTGATGCTAATCATCACTCCTGCATCTTATAAAGACTTAGATCTCTTATTCTGACTTCTGGAGATTTCTAATGACGTTCTTCATTTTCCTATCCCTGGATCCCTTTTGGGTTCACCCCTGATTTCCAATAACTGATATAAAAGGGGGAGAGCAAAGAATTCAGCCCAGTGTAAAAAAATTTAAAAATCTCTGAATTGTGGCCATTGCAAGACTATTCTGAATACATAAGTCATTGATAAGTGACCTCTTACTTCTCATGCAAATGCTTTTCAAAATGCTTTTTAAAGTATAGATCACATCCATGTCATTTATTCATTTCAAAAACCATAACAGCAGAATGCATAGAAAATTGCTGCAAGTTCTTTAAAATGTTCTTTAAAAGATCTGTCAAAAATGCCAAGCGGCTGTAGAAGCCATGATGTTTTTTACCGTATCTTAAACCTAAAATAGTTTCTAGGAAGCCCTGATGCTGTGAAATACTTGACAAAACCAAGTTTTGAGGAAATGAATACCATAAATGATTGTATGACCACCTGGAAAATGAGCAAAATACAGTATGGGAATTCTTATGAAGTAACAAATTAAAAATACTCTGCTTACCACTGGAGAAGGTGAAAGTGCAATATTGCCTATAGAAGCTTTCAGTTCATCAACAGTTGCTGCACTCTTAAGAGTATCTTTAGATTGCAAAGGTTTAATCTTAATATTGAATTTCTTGTGTGCCTCCTCTTCCTCTTCAGATTCACTTGAAGAATAAAAGTGCTTTCCTTTGGTAGGTAGATCACAGTTAAAGAGAAATGCAACCAATCCATAGACTACAATGTAAGCTTATTCAGTTTCAAGATAGACCTACAAGGCACAAGTTCTAAATGAATGGCACCATTCCAGAGGTCTTAATATACATTTCAATTCCACCTACTGAAATTGGAAGCAAAGCTCTAAACTTAGAAGGGGAAATCTGACAGTGCTAAGGAGCCCCAGAGAGCCTTGTATATGGCCCATTGTGGAGAGCAGATGGCGGCTGGAATCAGGCAACCTCTTGCCTGTAGCACAATACACATTTGCAGGGAACCCAGGACTAAAAATGATGGTGACATTGGATTCCCACTCTTCTCTCCCTGTTGGCCTTTAAGGTTAATTTTTCTCAATATCAGAGAATTCAGACATTGGGAATATCACATGACTGAGTTTTGAGAAGGAAGGGGCTGGGAATTCTGGAAGTTGTAGCTAGCTCATCTGGGGGCCACAAACCTGAGAAAGGAAATTGCAAATTAAAAATAAAGGATATAACCTGGTTCTTCTGGTCTGATGCTGTAGCCTTCTTCATCAAGTTCAGGTGAGTTCTGGTACAGCAAATACAGTGAAGGAGTTAGAATTTGCAAACATTCTTTTCTTTTTCCCCTTTTTCTCAAAATCTCATTAATGAGGCCATTTATTTATTTATTTATTTATTTATTTATTTATTTATTTATTTCGAGCATTTATAAGGCCACCTAATTCAAACAATTGTGCACAACAAAAATAAACATTATCAGAAAAGAAACCAACCATATATCATTAAAAAGTAGTCCAATATATAAAATGGTGAAGCAATTTTTTCTATTAAACATTTGATGTATGTAATAGCCTCCCTGTAGTGAAAGCTTATCCAGGAAGCTTTTTGTGGCCATATTATAAAATAGCTCTATTAACTGCTCTAGTTTCTGCATGGAAGGAGGAAGGTGAACATGAATCCTTTAATTACATAAAGAATTAATCAATAAAAGAGAATTGCATTTGTAGATTTTGGGGCTACCCAGTTATAGACTTTGCATTTCTAGTTCTTAATGGAATTGCATTTCCCTTGACAGAACTAGAATGCAGTTTGAGGGTCTTCCTAGACTCCTGGCTCCTACTTGAAGAACACCTCTGCACACTTTCTTCTTATGTACTCATTACACCCATTTCTGGTCTAGGACAGTTTACGCACAATCATTCATGCCTTAGTGACTCTTATGTGGACTGTTGCAATGAACTCTATATGAGACTGCCCTTGAAGACCATTCAGAAGCTACAGCTGGTGCAGAATGTGGCAGCAAATAGTTATTGGTCCACCTCAATAAGTCCATGTAACACCACTACTGTGTAAGGTGCACTGGATACCAGTGGGTTTCCAGATGCAAATCAAGTTGTGGTGATTATCTATAAAGCCCTACATGGCACAGGAATTGGCTATTTGAGGGACCATTTGACTCCAATTATTTCTGCCCAACCTACAAGATCTGAGAGGGTTGGCATATTCCAAATCCCATCAATTAAACAACGTCACCTGATGGAACCCAGAAGCCATGTGCTATGGAACAGCATCCCTTCCCTCACCAAGATTTAGCTGGTCCCAACCTTGTTGGTCTTTAAAGACCTGGATCTTCCTCTGGCACTGGACCAGGTAGACATATGAGTCTGCTAGTAATGTAATTTTATTATTCTGTTTTGTTCCCGACAGGGTATTTTATTTCTTTACTATTGTTTTTGTATTATAATTTTTTGAAACCCTGTTAGCCATCCAGAGTCACTCTGTAAGTGACCACATACATTAAATACATACATACACACATACATACATTTTACTATATGTCATTTAGTTTACAGACAGTAAACATAAAAATAATATTTTAATCCAATCACCTAATCTCCTAAAGGATATCTTGCAAAATAGTATTAATATGTATCTATGGTGTTTGTGACACACAGATATTTCTCTACCTAACAAAATAAAGAATACACAGAGGGATAAAGACATACAGTATATGATGAGGGATTAAACAAAGAGACATACTGTATCTTGCCTGATTCAGCTCTGCAAGTACTAAAGCAAAAATTATAAGCATGTGTATATAAATGCTTAACTTCTTTTCAATTTAAGTTAAAATGATTTCAGGGAAAATTTTAATTTCTTCTATGTGGATGTCTTTCATACTAGCAATATAATCTGTCTGAAACTGAGCTCTCTATAATTGCTTTTTAATGTTTTATAGATTTTATTTTCAATTTGTCTGAGACAAATTTGTACAATCTAATTAACGCAATGATGTAAATATATTCTAGCATAGAGATGGAGCCACTGTTCAAAGCAAGGAGGCTTAAACATGCAAGCTCTTCTGCTTCTGCATAAGTGCACAGAATCAAGATAGATTCTCACAGACACTTACAGCAACACAACATGAGTGGAACAATCCAAATGGATGTGAATGGAAAACACCACTTCAGAGCCTTGCTGGTTTACTCCAGCCAGGACAAGGGTGGATGTATGGATTTTCTCTGCATAATTAGGAAAAGGAGCCCAGCTACACAATTGTCAGTACATCAGCATCAGGAATTTGGAGGACAACTGAGGATTGCTGTCATGGTGAGTGGGAAGGCTTTGAAATTTTTCAAGTGCACTTGTTTATAATTTTTAGCAATCCACCTCCCCTCGTGCAGCTTCCCCCCAAACAAATGTTTTGCAGTATTTTTTGTTTCCAAATCAGTGAGTAGTGATCAGTTGGCAGTTTTCTTTGCTCAGCTCTTGGCCAGAGGTGAAGCAACAGTTGGGTGTTGACTCACAAAGATATAAACATGACTGCACTTGTACTGCCCTGATGTCACAATAGATACTAAATCAGTGAATACAGCTCAAATCAACCTTAGGTACATTTTAAACTGAATTGAGTAGGGATGGGAGACAGAAATCTGGTTATCTGGAAAAGTCCTAAATTTTTGCTCAGGTGAAGCCAGATTTATTTATTTATTTGGTAAATATATATAGCTGCCCATCTCACATATGTGAGTAACTGAACTCTCATTGGCCAGCAGTTTGGGAAAGATAATAAAGTTCATTGTTATTTCTTCACTTCTCAATGTTCCAGGATAATCAGCAGAAATACATTCAGTTCCGCATCCTCTCAGTATGTTAACAAGTGGAGATTATTAGCAAGGGCAAAAATAGACATGGCTGATCTCTTCTGTACATAACCTATTATTTTCATGGGACAAAAATTCAATCCAGGCCAACTGTAGGGATGCATCAGGTAAGTGGATGTCTCAGCAGCATCCTTTATATTCAGGTATCGTTACTAATTTTGTGCTGATATGATAGGATAAGCTAAAAATATAATTCATAGTATCTGTGACACAATAATAAACATGCAAATAAGTAACCAGGTCTCACTGAGAACAAAGAATGTCTTAAAAGACTACTGTCAACAGTTTTTTTTTTTTTACTTACATATCTTTCCCAGTCAATCTCTGAATAAAATCCATTTGGAGCACCATTTGTTCTCTTCTGTAATACACAGTTAAAAAAAAGTTTTTGTTTTTGTTGTTGTTAGAAGAAAAACATCAAAATGCTCTAATTTCCTAGAAGTCATGAAAAAGTCAATGTTTTCAATGGGGGATGCCCCAAGACCTATCACTCCATTATTAATAAATAGAAAGGTAATTCCAGGTTCCTTACTTCTCTTTTGGAAAGTAACTTCCCATACTTGTACTCTTGAATATTCCACAGTTGAGAACCAGAGTAGGAATTGCAAGAAAATACAGTAATTTTCATTGGGAAAGTACAGTATTGTGGTATAAAGACAACTATGCAGGGGATGATAACTCAGTGGCAAAAAACCTAGATTTAATCCCTGGCACCTCCAGTTGTAGGATCATATAGCAGCCTTGTAGATGTCTTAGCCTAAGACACTGAAGAGCTGAAGTCATTGAGAGAAAGAATGCTGTGTTAAATGGACAAATAGCATGGCTTCGAATACAGCAGTTTCCTAGGTAGCAAATAACAAAGTTGAACAGATAAAAGCAAAAAATAAAATGAATATTCTGTATTTAAATTTAAACATTAAATTTTAACATTAAAATAGAAAACTCTTGATGTGTTTTATTTCCAGTGCCTTGAAAAGCAAAGCTGTCATTTGACTTAATCATATCATGAATCATTCACAAAATCCAACAAATCACAAAAATCACAAAATCATTGGGAAAAAAGGCTTCATAATGAAATCATAGAATCACTGATTGGGTGAGTTGGAAGAGATGTGTTGGTTGTTGAATTGTTTCATATATCCCTCTAGTTTGATACAGAACTATTGATGAGCACCCTTTGGATGTAGTGGTTCAATCAGTTGCAAGGCCACTTGACTGAGATAGTGTCTAGCCCATATTCATCTATTTAGCATTGTCAAAGGCACACTGCATCCACAACATTCCCTTGGTCTACCATACTATTCACTATAAAACAAATAAATTTAGTCTGCCCCAGTTTGTTTTTGACAAATCCATGCCGACTACTGGTGATGGTAGCATTCTTCTCTAAGTGGTCACAAAGATGCTGCTTGACAGTCTGTTGTTGTACCTTGCCCAGTACAGATGTAGTTTCCTGGGTCCTCTCTCTACCCCTTTTTGAACATTGGTTTTATCTTGGTTCTTTTCCAGTCTTAAAGCAGTGGTTCTCCAGGAATTAGAGTCAGCAGTTCTCTGCTGTCTTGGCCCTGAGACTTGAATTCACTTAAGTTAGCAGTTCAGATGGGATTCTTATTATGACTTTATTTATCTTAAATTGCATCCTCCCCTCTTTCCCCAATCATATTAGAAATGGCTCTCTCCCTCTTCTGAAGGAAAACAGATGCAGAAAGAAGATATTAAGCAGTTTGCCTTCTTATTCCCATGATTATTTCCCCACCTTTCCCATGAAACAGATCAACAGCTTACTTGACTATTCCTTTAATTCAGACATATCTGGAAAATTCATCTGAGTATATTTTGTATTATTGGCACCCTCATTTCATTCTGAGATTTTGTCTTTCTGGTTTCATCTCTACAGTCTCAAGCTACCACTTGGTACTCCTTTGTTACAAGCCTTAGCTTCCACTTCCTACACATCTCCTTTTTGTTTTTCAGCTTGTCACTGAGCTATTTACCCATAGAGGCCTCTTAAAAATTTCCCATTTTTCTTTTTCATCAGGTTTGTTTGGGTATGTGCTTTCTGTAATTTGCTTTTCAAAATATCCCATCCCTCTTCAACTTGTTAATCCTTTAAGATTTCAAGCCACAATATGTTGTCCACCTTTGCCTGAGTTCATGATAGTCTGCCTTCCAAAAGTCCATTGTATGGACTGACTTCTCTCACATGTTTCTCTCCTAAATGTCTCGTACTCCAATATAAGGTGGTCACTTTTCCCAAGGGGCATGACATCTTTAGTCCACTGACCAATTCCTCTCTATTGGTCAAGCATGCATACAAGATAGTAGAGCCCCTTCCAATTTCCAAAAAATGAAATTCTTAGCAAAAGAGCTCAGAAAAATATTATGTGGAAACTCTATTCCTATACAAGTTAGTTTTCCAGTAAAGATCACAATAGTTGAAGTCTTCCTCTTCTCAGCATTCTCTTCTGAGAACTCAATAAGTTGATCTAAAAAGGTATAATCCACATCTTCTGCCTGGATCAATAGCCCATAGTAAAATCCCATAACAGTGTCACGTTTGTTTGTTATGGAAATATTTTCAACTTCCATATTCAGGGAGATAACTGTCTTCCCAGACCTAGGGTTTCTCACACAGGAAGCCAGTCTGCCTGCTTTCTTTGAACCTATGACTCTTATTTGACCATGTCTCTTTTATACCTATCAAAGAAATATTTGCTTTCCCATGTTAAGATTCCCAGATCCTCCTGTTTGCTACATATCTCTATGCACTATGTACTACATACTGATATACAGACTCTGGAAACCAGGGATGTCTCAGTTCTGTGGTCGTCTTCTTGCCATGTGCTGAAGATTTCTGAGTAGCCTTTCCTGAGTAGTCTGTGCCTGTCTCCTAGTTCCAGTCTAGTTTAAAGCTCTCTTGATAAGGTTAGCAAGGCTTTTGCCAGACAATTTTTCTTGCTCTTCAGAGGTATGGCCCATCCCTTTCCAAGAGTCCCCTAAATTGGTGATATAAAATATGGCCTGGAAATCTAATACTTTTTTTTAACAGCACCATCTTTTTTGTCAGCTTTTCACTTCCAGGATCCTGCTTTCCCTTCTTGTCCCTTGACCTTCAAAAGTGGTTGCAAAGTGATTGCATACTTATACAGATACAGGTAGTCCCTGGGTTAAGAACACCTGGTTTAAGAATGATCCATAGTTAAGAACAGAGTCTTTTGTAGCAAAATTTCAGTTAAATACACAGTGATTCGCAATAAATACACAATGGTTCAAGTTCATTACACAATACTACTTACACAGTATTATACAGCTTACATACAAATTCAACTTAAAGACAGACATTGGTATGAAACTCGTTCTTAAACTGGGGACTACTTGTACATACATTTCAACATGTTGTTATTGTTCAGAGTTTAAGATATAAACTAGATATCCCATAATATTTACAGCACAAGTATCTTTAAGAAATGAGAGCCAGTTTGGTGTAGTAATTAAGGTGCTGGGCTAGAAACTGGGAAACTATGAGCTCTAGGCCAGCCTTAGGCATGAAAACCAGCTGGGTGATTTTAGGCCAGATACTCACTCTCTCACAGCCCAACCCATCTCACAAGGTTGATGTTGTGAGGAAAATAGGTGGGATTAGATAACAACAACAACAACAACAACATCCTATAATACTTAATTTTTTTGCATATAATGTGTGGAATCGACATGCATAATTTCATTTCAGAATATGTATTATTTACATAATATAGCTAGGTTTTTTTTTAATGAATATCATTTTTAAGCCAAGTTTCAGAGAAAAAGATGGTGTACTTGAATCAACATCAGTTAATTCCCCCTTCCCCAAAACACTAATTAGTATCTAAACAAATTAGGTGTGTATATGAACATGCAGTAGAAACACATAAGAACTGTACCTGTGTGTGTGTTTGTGTAAAAGTGAAGAGTTAGGCTTTCTATCTGGAGCACCAGTGGTGAGAGTACATTGAAATAAGTAACGTGAAGAATATCAAACATGCATTTGTGTATTTTAAAGAAAAGCAAAAGTCCTGCAGCTTAAACATTGTTTCAACCAACCCACTCGAAGCTTTAAGCCAATATTCACGTTCTTACCGAAACCGGTTTTCCGCCTTCCTGTGCACATTCTGGTTTGCTATTGAAGGATGGATCATGAGGATGAGGGCTGGGTGGCTGGAATGGATTTTGTTTTTTATAGAAAAAGGGTTAAAGTGTTTGGTGGTTTAACTTAAAAAAAAACACATGAAACTACATGGAGTAAGCAAGCTGAGAATGCACTTTATGAAGGCATTATTTGCCAAATTAATGTGGCTATCAGCAGACTATTTTGGAACATATAGTAGCACTCCATTCAGCAGAAATTAGGCCTTGTAAGGGAATTCAGCTGACAGATACCATGATTTTAAAGACCATCTCATGGACCATTAACAGAACATTATATTGCTATATATTTTAAAACCACACCTCCCCCCCCCTCTCTTTTTCATCTGTCAGCAACCTTTTCAAGTTTTGAATTTCAATGCAATATACCTTTTGCAATTAAACTGGGCAGACCAATCTTAAGAATAGTTTAATTAAGCAAAATTTTAACTACCTAAAAGGAATGTGATCCTAAATTTATCCTGTTTTTATACATGAAAAATCAGTGGCATTTTTAAGTTAAATAATTTTGAATAGTTAGTTGCAGGAAAGATGGTATTTGAGGAAATGAAGTCTCTGTTTATTACCCAGTTTCTTATGACTATGATCATAAAAATGTTTTGCAATGGATTGTATTGGGTGACTCCTAGGTGGGATAGAAACTCTCAAAAATGTTGAGAGTTTGTTTTGTAAAAAAACAAAAAACAAAACTTGCTATCCTTACCTAAGGTCTTGCATAATTCTTTCTTATTTTCCTATAGAAATGCCCCACCTGCTCACAGCAGCACTGGGCTCATCATTCATGGGCCACTTCTCCTGCAGTGCTTCTTGGAATGACCATGCAATTACATGATCAATTAGGGAGCACTAAGGGAGAAGCCACCTCCAGAAACTTGCAATTAATCCTTGATTTACAAAATAAACAACCCTCCCTAGATTTAGGATTATGCACAGTATCAAACTTTCAATCTATGGACAAAATTCAGCCTTCCAGGGCTCTCCATCCTGCCACCATGAGCTCTGCAAAGATTCTGTATGTTCAAATAACAGAGCGTTCCTTTGGGGGCCACCCTAAAGACGTCCAACCTCACTTACCATTATATGTAAGTATGTGTGGGTATATGGATGGGTGACAGGAAAGCAGGGAGTCCACTGACTTTGGAATGACTCCATCATTATAGTCAGAGTAAACGTGTCCCACAAAGGAAGAAAAGTTCTTATACCACTTTAAGAGAGCTGACATTTAACACATATTCCATAACCATGGAATAGCAAATAATGTCATTTGAAATTGCAAAATTATTATATGAGAATATTCTTCCATGTCAGTACTAAAAGCCAGAAAAAAATAATTAGGTGTCACAGTGAACACACCAGGCTAAGGGTAGTAATGGTGAAGCCAGAACCAGAAAATAGAAGGCAGAAGTTATAAGGAAGCTGCATACTGTACTTGATAGCTCCCCTTGTTATTTTAAGCTTTCCAAAAATAGGATTTTGCTTGAAAATGGAAAGATGGGAGGAACAGAAAACTATACAAACACATTGTCAGTATGGCTGGTTCAATGGAAACCGTAATTGTGTGAGTCTATGCTGGTCTATGACTGTAATAAAGGTTTGATTTGATTTGAACTGTGTGAGTCAAACTCTAAATCATATGGAAAAACGATGATCAGGTTTCCATTTTTTAATTTTTTTGTTGCTGTTGTTAAAAATCATCTAATAAGCAAAATTGCAGAAAGTGGGAAGGAAAATGGATCAAGACAGCAGAGGAGATTTAATCTTTCCCCCCTTTTATTTCCTTAATATAAACTGCTTCTGCCCCCACGCTGCTAATAAGACATGGAAAGGGCAAAACACAGGTACTAGGGTATGTATCTGTAGGGGGATAAGGAGGGCAAAGACAACATATCTGTCATGACAGCATCATGTAAATGATCTGGCTTATGTATTTGCATCATACATTGAGATCCAAGAACACAACTGTGTCATTTGTGTGACAATGTCGTGCACATGCTATTTTTGATGTCACTATGGATTGTTACAAAGCCTATGGGTTCCACTTTCAGAATGACATAGGCAAGCTGGAATGTGTTTAAAGAAGGAAGGGCTGTATTTTGTCTCTTCCATGTCTAATAGCAGGTCTAGGAAACCAATCAACTCTTCCTTGTGTTTAGACCAGTGATTCTTAAACTGGGGGTAGTTACCCAAGTGGGTAATCTGGCATAGCCTGGGGATAATGGAGCAGTAATTGCTTGTTTGGGAGTTAAGGATTTGGATTGGGACTGCTACTGCTGAGATGGTTGTTTAAAATAACAGAGCCTGGTTTTTGGGGGGAGGCAATGGCATTATTTGAGACTGGGAAAAGGGGTAATTGGGCCAAATAGTTCAGGAACCACACTGGTTTAGACTATCGGTACAGAGTAGACTACCATACAAATGGGATCTGAGGCCTGCAAATTTGGAAAGTCTGTGTCTTTTTTTCTTCTGCTGAACAGAGCTTTGACCAATTTGTTAAACAGAAGTGTTCCAAGTGTGGTCTGCTTTTGTTTAAAAACAAAAAGAAACCAAACAAAAAATTAAAAGCGCTTGACCAGACACAATGGGGATGCAAGAGGGTGTGTAGATGCTAGCATTTTTCAATCTATGGTTGCAACTACAAGCTTTTCTACACAATTCAGTTCTTCTAGAAATCATTGCTACTGGGCTGGAAAGGAATTATGTTAAGGTTGGAGGATTAAGGATCTTGGGTCAGATATTCAAAAAGTTAGGCTAGCAAAAATGTGCATTAGGGCCTTTCCAGAAGACAAAGTTAGCTCTAATCCAAGAGCAGTAGTGTGAAGTGTAGCTGTGAGGGAGCAGAGAGTATCTTGCCTCACAGAAGACACTTTTTAAAAAGCAGTTAGGAGGCATAATTCTTTTAAATTAATAAAACCTTATAAACGAAGAACTAAATTAAAATAAACCCTTTTTATAATAGAACATTACTTGAAAAAAGGAAATAAAAACTTTATTTATGTTTACCACTTCTTAAAAAGGCTGAATACATGGAATTATGTAGAAGGGATTACACAAACTTTTTTTTAAAAAGGGGAAAAAAGCTTTCAATCAGAAATCATAATAAAAGAATAGGTGGAATATGCTGGTCATTAATGATGACCCAGATTATATATCACTCAGTCCACAGTTCAACCAATACAGCATTTCCAAAAAAGCAAGAAGGACATGCCAGTTAGAAGAACCCACATTCTCGAGTGACACACAGTATGCTGGAAAACGCTTTTTTCTGGACACCAGTTGGACTTCATGAATCCAGCTTATAACCAGTGTAATAGAAGTTCATTCACTCTTCAAAAAAGTATCATCTGGAAAGGCCCTTATGACTCATAATTTCTGGGTCTTCATTCTATTTGTGAAAATCTATTAAAGAACACTAGTCAACAATTACCCCCATTTTTTCTTAGCTTTTTCACCAGATAAATTTAAGGAAGTCTTCTAAAAGCAGGAATCAATATAAAACAAAGCTAAATTTGTATCTGAGCCCAACATTCTTTATTGCAAACGTAAAGTCTAATAGCCAAGAGGTAAGTTTCTTTCTAAAATTAGTTCTAGCAGAGATGAAAATCCTGAAACCATAAATAAAAGCAACAATAATTTAAGAGCAGCCCATTTCTCCTATTTCTATTTTCTCCTGGTTGTGATTACCTTCAGTTCATTTCCTCAATTGCAGAAACTGATTTTCCAATTTTAAATCTTGATCTGATAAATATTTTGAACTTTTTGTATAGTTGTTCAATGTGGTAATTCTTATTATTTTATATAGGAAGCATTTTGTGAAGAAAAAAAATACTGCAAGAAAAAGATTTGTCTTTTCACAGTCTGTGAGTTTGAGAAGAGGGGGTAAAGGGCTTAGACTGGATTCAAGTAAAATCAGGGATATATTGAAAATGATAATGTTAATATATTCAAAGTATTAAAATAGAAATAGGACAGAGGATTTAAGAATGCTTAAGGCATCTTTCCTGTTGGACACATCTAATTTAAAATTAGGCCTAATTTCAGAAAGAAATATCTTTAAAACTTACAGTTCCATCTCGGTCTGGTGATCCTCTGTAATAAAATGAAAATATATTCCATTACTATAAAGAATCCAAAAACCTACATTAGTTTTTTTTTTAATTACCACCACTGCTTGATAAAATAGCTGCACTCAAAATGAATATACTTCTTAAAATCATATTTTTGTTTCAAATATTTCCAATTTCTTTGCCTATTACTTGGTTCCATACACTATATAAATGAAGATAAAGTGTATATAAAAATTTATAATTGATAAATACTATAAAAAATTAGAATTGAGAAAACCACATAATACAAACAAAAGCATGATAGAGGCTTAGGGGTACCAAATTTGAAATGCTACTTTTAAACTTTTCACTTAAAATGATTAGTTCATATTATTAGGACTTAAATACTATCCAATTCATACAACCCGAATGGATTTTTTTGCATAATTCAACTATCTCTCTTTAACAACATTTTCTAGCTGTTGATACAGATTTTTTCTCTCTCTTCCTTTCAGAGGCATAAGCAATAACATAACCTCACATACAGGCCTTATATGTGCAATACAGTCTGTAGAGTGGATGAATCACAACTAATTCAAAAAATTGTAAGGTTAATCTGATGGAGTGAGCTGCAGCTCATGAAAAGATGATGTCTTTTAATAACTTTTGTTATCAGAAAATGTGCTACCAGATTCCTGATTTTTTTCAGCATTTTATAAAACTCTTACATCAAATATAATAGTCTCTATGGAAAGAGGATTTGGGATCTGAACTCAATGACTGTGTTTAAACAAAGATGCTAATCCCTGAGCTCAGGTTTATGGAATACAACAGCAGTCTTCAAGGAACTTGCTGTGTCTTTCAGAAATCTTTATTTGGTCAATGACCAGGACAAAATAAATGAAGAGATAGGTAAATAAAAAACACAAAGCAATAACCCCAGTCCAAAAACATCTCAAGCAGCAGAGGGAAGTAGCATACATAATAGCATATTATGACATTAAAGTGTATCTCTAAAACTGGAGAAGTTCTTAAGAATGTATATTTTTAACATTTAAACTATAATCTATGAAACTAAAGCATAATGAAACTAAAACCCTTCTAAGATAGTCCCTAAAACCAAAAAGATAGTATTCTAATAGTATCACTATAATCTACAAAAGAACAGCACTATGGAACTGAAAAAAAGGTCAATAAAAATTATCCCCGTCCCAGCTTTTGCCTTATTTCCATTACTGTACAGCAACACAAACTTTAGCTACTGAGCGAGTGATAGATGATTTCAAGTCTTCTAAAAGAAACATCACGTGGTGCTTGCCCAATCTTCCAGCATGTTTGCGTAATGGGGTAAGATAAGATTGGTCCAACCAACCTGCTATGCCCAAACACATAAATCATATTGTCACATAAGGTAATATCTGGATTCCCATGATGCCAATTTAGCTTAATGTTGAACATAGATAAATTTAGCCAATGAGCCATTTTGGAATTCTATATGGCACAGCATTCCCTTTACGTCTATCTCAGTGTGCCATATAAAATGTATTATTTAAAAAATTCATAGATGATAGTACATCCCTTTAAAATTATATTATTTACTATGGCCAGTCCAGCAACCGAAAATCTATTTAGTAGTCTTTTCTGTAAAAATTATGCCAACTGAAATATTTCTAGAATGCGGACTTGTTAAATTAATACATATCACCACTTCTGGTGGCAAAAGTTAAAAATTAATTAATTTTTATCAAATGTTTTGGAGGAAGTTGGTAATTAATTTTGCTGTTTGGTTTATACATATGGTCATTGCAATAGAATATTTTTTTTTTCTAGATGCCAGAGTTACTATTGTAAAATAATGGGTAAGACCAAAGCACATACAGTATTTCCTTCAATTAGTATATGCAAAATCCCTCAACTAAGGACTTGTTTATTCATATCTGGTCTCCCCCTTTGATAAATAAAGACAATCTGTTAGAAAATACTTTACTGACCTAACTAAAAAGTCCTCCTAGACAGAAATACTAAATATGAGTGGTTAAGATAATTGTATCTTTCTTAAGATTACAAACATATTTTATATACTCTGAAATTATGCAATTTCTTTAACATTTGCTTCTGCATAGTTGTTTGATCTGGTCTGTTTTCCGTCCCCCTGGATTTTTAAAAATATCTCTGTTGCTAATGAAACACTATTCTAAGAAAGAAAAGAAGCAACAAACAACCAAAAGAAAATCAAATTATTAGGCTGTATAGCTCCTTCCATGCATAAATCACATGAAAGGATATCAACATAGGATTCTTCCACACTGCCATCTTAACATGCGTTCCTCCCATCCTTAATTGGCAAAAAAGTATACCAACATAAATTCTGCCATACGTGCCTTAGCATCTTCACTAAGTCCATATCAGCCTTGTTCAACCTGAACCTTTCCAGTGGACATCAGCTTCCAGAATTTCCACTGAATGTCAACACTGTTAGGAGGTCTGTGTAGGTGAGTGTGACCATTAGGCAAACATCTTGATAACTGATAACACAAGCTGACTCGTGTTTACATCTTCTATCTAGATGTTTTCCTGTTCAGGTATAGTCCACATTCCCCTTTAACATAGTTCAACCAAATCCAATTTGGTTCCCTGCCAGATCTTGGATTACAATTTCAACAATTCTCAGTGAGCATGGCCACTGTTGGTGAATATGTCAGCTAAAGGACTTTTCATGGCCACATCAATATGTATTCTTCCAGCCCTTGAAAAAACATATACCAGCATAACTTGCACTGCCCTGAAGTCTGAACTCTAATCTGTCTCACTAAGGCTTGTAAATGGATCTATCCTTACAGGGTTTCTCTAAGATAATTGAAGGGCAGTGATTGGTCAGTTCCATTGGCTTTGTTTCTCATCCCATCTAGTGTCAGCAGCCACCAGGAAAGAACACCAAAATTGCTCTCCTTTAAGTGTGACAGGCAGGCATGGGTGAGTGTGGGCAGTGACCAGGATGGAGACTTTGCCTTTCAAGTTGCGTCAATGCCAGGTCACTGGTGCAGAGATGTTCTGAGTTGGTAACTTGTCACCTATGCTGGTGCTGAGCACAGATCTACCAGACTTCTGGAAAAGTGGTTGATGTCCAAAACTAGCCCAGCTGACAAGTTGGTGGGACAAGGGACATTTAAATAATGAATATTTACATTCATTACAGACATTCATTTAGATAATTTCAGCTGAGTGCCTCAGGCCACAATCTGTATTAGGGATGCAGATAACCTTCAATTCAATTCAAACCTTTATTGGCATTACAGATAACCTGTCCCCAACTGTTTTGTGAGCCTCCCAAAAGTGATGCTAAGAAATGGCCTGTGTCCTAACCCCAACTGGACATTTGACTTCTGAGTTGATTTCCCCCCATTGGTTTCCTTTTCGAGTTCACATTCATACACATGCAAACATACAAACACATACCCACTTTCTGTCTCTAACTTACTGCCCCGTATGTTCAGTAAGCTGGAAAGTATAGAAGTTTCAGTGCACTGAATGGGGCTCCTTGTCACTTTAAGTGGATCTTATGAAGAGCTGCAAGCATCTTCCTCTAGCCTATTACTATTACTAAGGAACCCAGTAGAGCCAAGTCTGTGGCAGAGTATTACCTCTTAGGTGAAACTTGGCTTCACATTTTGGGCAGGACATAAAAGTACTGCTGGTAAATGATCTGCTTTTTTCTCTTTGTCTTTAAACTTCTTCTGCTTCCTGCTTCCTTTCTTCTCCTTCCAGTTTAGTTTGCACTCAGCACATTCCCAGTCAATCCCTTTATCCAGATCAGAGCAAGCACATCTGCCACTCAGTTCAGCTAGCAAAAATATAGCTTGAGATATATGTATATACACTAGCAAACATCTAAAACAGTTAACTGGCAAAAAGGCAGGCAAAAGCAAGGAGGGAAGGAGAGAAATGAACTATAGGCAAGAATTTACATTATCTATAGCTATCCATCTCTAAATCAAAAAGTCATAGAACTTTCCAGAGCCATTGAAAACAATACTGTGGGTGGTTAGCATGGACAGTCCTAAAGGGATTATTCCAGCCTTTGGTTATTCCAGCTTTAACCCTTGTATGTACTTAACATAGCAGAATTGAGATGGAAAGTAGCACACCAGGTGATTCCTTCTCTATTCTTCACGTGAAAGAAACAATTTAGTGGGTGGGGGTGATGTATCCAACAGACCTGATAAGCTACTTCACAGTTCAAATCTACAGAAATTACTTTATTTTAAACATTCAAGTACATTATTTAAATTCTCTCAAATAAACACAATTTAAAGGAGAGGCACTTGATCAGCAGTAATCACAAGCACCCCAAAAGGTTAGTATAGGGTGATCAAAGTCATTTTCACACATGTCAAAAGTTCTTGTACATTTCGTTGACCTCCCCACTTTCCAATTTTTTAGCTTTTCTGATGCTGATATTTGCTATGAAACTTTCCAGGGAAGAAAAAAGGAATTCTACTTATATGGGGGGAAAGGTCTCCCAGAAACAGAAAGCAGCAAGATACTTAAAATATTTTTTCTCACACATCATCCAGGAACTGTTAAGCACCTCATCTTGGAAAATAGTTTCATTTCAATAATCGTTCACCAATTCCATTACGTTCTAAACCAACAATGAAATCCTGACACTGTGAAGTATAACTGAAAAACCAAGACAATTCTTGACGGACATCTAACATCAGAAAAGCTTTCGTTTTTGAAGATTTGAACTCCACCTCCAGTGAGTCTCTGTATTCACACGGAGTTGAATGAGTTCAATCAAACCTGCAAGCCCCATCTCTCTGGCAGTTTAGACAAAATATTCCATTTTCATCCTAACAGAGAATCAGCTTTTTGAGAAATGAGCCACTGATTTTTCATTGCTTGTGTAAAACAGCATCGTTCATGAAACAGCTTTATTTATGTATTTGTTTGTTTGTTTATAAATCATATTTATAGGGCATCTGACACAAAATGACTGGGTGACAAACAATTAAAAACAAATCCAGTACAATATAATCCCAAAAAGAAAAGAACAACCAGCAACTAAAATAACCCATACCATAATAAAACTCCCATCAAGGGACATACTCCCAGCCCAGCACCCTGGGTCAGCTCAAATACTGTTCCTGTGGCCAGGTACCACGCGAGAGAAGGCACCCCACCAAGGTCCCATCAGATGGCACTGTTTTAAGGATGGGACTGGAATCAGGCCGAATCTCTCTGACTAAATCTTCAGCCTTTTCATTCACTTGTACATACTTACGTGGAATCGGTATCCTTTTCTTTCTTCCGTATTCCAAAGGCTTTCCTTGTACGTTTTTTCAATCCTGTGGAGACAGAAGGAAAAAAAATAAAAGATTGGGTACATCAGGCAGCTTTAAACTGGTAATAATTGGGTTAAGTAATGCAGTAGACAGCTTAGGGGCAATCCAATAAAACATACTTGGAAGTAAGTCTCACTGAACCATATAGAGAGTTGTGTTTTAAAAAATAAACAATATTGTCATATAATGAATAAAGAACTACAGAAGGCTTTATATTCCAATGTACAATTAAAGCTTAGAATATAAAAGATTTCCCCCCCACAAATGGAATTACGGTATAGTTTATTGTTACTAGCTTAATAGACAACTACAAGTGAATAATGGTTCTTTTAGGACTACATTATAAATGACAAACTCTCCCAGCAGAATAAAAAAACCCTAAATATTTCAAGAGATATAAAAGATATATTTTTGCTATGTTTTTACAAGCTGTTTAGAAAATGTTATTTTGATATACCTGTCATAATTTTCTACAGTAATAAATTCTGACACACAACCACACATCCATTACAAAGGCAAACAGTTTTGATTCATTGACATATGCTTTAAATCGGGGTTCCTCAACCTTGGCAACTTTAAGACAGGTGGACTTCAACTCCCAGAATTCCCTAGCCAGCAAAGCCGGCCAAGGGAATCCTGGAGTTGAAATCCCCCCGTCTTTAAGTTTCCAAAGTTTGGGGACCCCCATTTTAAAAATATGTCAAAG